TGTTTTTGCACTAAAATAAGCTCAAACCAAAAGTGAACCTCCAATCCAGCCTCTACACCAGAAAATTTGACAACAAATGAACTTCATGATGAACTCAACAACAATGCTCACTCTAATAACATTTCTGAGTGGATTTCAAGTTCAAATCATCACAAAAGATCTCGAAAAAGTTGGTTCGTGAAAAGCTCTCGAGGGACTCACAATGTAGGTTCAAATTAGGGTTTATCAAGAGGCTCAAAACCTGCATAATGCTATAATAACAGATATATACACAATTAATGAATCCAAGTCCTATTCCAATGAGGAAATTCATAGCTCATATTATAAGGCATATGCACCATGCTTATCCAAACTTGGTGCCCAAGAATTGTATTTATGTGAGTATACTCTTGCTCTAGGACCATAACTATGTGTCACACACTAAGCCTTTTAGCATAAAGACAAAAATAACCCTGGATAAGCCACTTGTCACAAAATGCACAGAAATTGATCTTGAGACTGTGAAACTTATCATGCACCTCAATTATGTGATGATTAATATAATGATGCATGCTAGACAAGTGTGATAAGGTCAAATATATTTGTGAAATGACATGAATGCCCCTGGATAAACTTGTAGCTAAATATCACACCTTTAACCTCATAAAAAACTAGAAAAAGGCCTGGAACCTGAGCCTTAAGTACAATGTACCATCCTTAAGCACTATGAAAATAAATCACAAGATAAAAGACTAAACTACCCTTGAGGGACATTATAAAGCACTAAGCACAACATGAATGGTGGTAATACAAAATTGTAGCCTTGTAAGCATGGATTTGACATTAAAAGTGCAAACACTATGAAACATAAGAACCAACAGAACTGCTCAAGGCGATTGTGGTTAGCACCCCTCATTATTTAATAGCCAACAATACTTGTTTTAGGGGTCTAGTCCCTCACATCAAGTTCGGATGAAATAAAACACACACACACACACACACACACACACACACACACACATAAGTGCCTGACGAGTTACCTAATTATGCTTGATAGGTGACAGATGGGCTTGGCTATGAGCTTTCAAGATATGCCATTCAATTCATCTATGATGCACTTTGAAGACTTCTTTTATCTTTGTTTTGTTTGTTGTCTTTGTATTGAAAATGGTTCTTCTCATTTCCTTTGGTGTAAAGTGCTTTAAGTTTTCTCATTTGTACCATATTGTTTATTTTTATTAATAAAAAATCATATTCAGAAGGGGAAAAAAATGACATAATTCATGAGGTAATCAAATATGCCCTTATAGCTTAAAATTTTCCTTTGCTGAGACCAAGTCCATTGGGCTCGCGAACCCATTTCCATAAGCCCAAATATCATTTTTTGCGAGCCAAACGCACTCTAGAGAGTTCGTGGAAAGTGGGCCTGAAAAAAGTGAATCACGGTCTGGGTCGCTATTTTTAAAGACCAAGGCCATGATCGCGGGTATGGATGCGAATCTCAATTTTTTTTGGTTTATTCCTAAAGGTCCTATTATTTGAAATGGACAACGTTCTTAAGGGCGTGTTTGGACCAAATAATTGCCCAAAAATTAGTTTTTTGCTAATTTTTTGTCTATACTTTATTGGAATTGAAGAGCCATTAGGCATTGTTTGGCTGACATAAATAGTGCCTAAATGACTTTTTCGGCCCCAAAAAACTTAAAATTCAAATATATAATATTATTTTTTGGCACTTTACTGGCCAATAGAGTCGTTAGGCATTGTTTAGCTAACACAAACAGTGCCTAAATGACTTTATTGGCAAAAAAAGAAAAAAAAAATGAAAAAGAAAAAAAGAGTAGATTTTCAAAAAAAAAAATTCCTTAAAAAATTTATTTTTTATTATTATTATTTGGTTTCAATGTAATGAAAGTTGTATTGTTTAATTTCTTTTATTCCATAAAGGATCTTGTATTGTTTAATATAGCAAGTAGAAATATAGTCGTTCGAAAAAAAGGAATTTTTTAAAACTAAATATTAATAAATAATTAAATGAGCTAAATCGCACCATTGTGACACTTTTAGTTGCCAAAATTTAGAGAGTTCAAAATACTGACATAGATTTGAAAAATGCTAATATAACTCTTAAAAAATGTTAGACATGACAAATTTAAAGAGTTAGATTTTTAAGATGCCAATAGAGATGCTCTAGTTTAAAGACTCTAAACAAGTTGTTTTTTTCCTTAGTTGGTAGTCGCTTGCTCTTTATTTATTTTATTTTATTTTATTTTATGTTTCTCTGAAAATACAAGTACGATGACATTTTAAATATGGGTTGTTTTCTGTTTGGGTCCATGTTCTCCTTCTGGAAGTGTTTGACCTTTGTGTTAAGAGTCCCACATAAATTAACACAAAAACTTGAGAGTATAGTAAGAAACTATAAAAATGACAAAAAAATAAAATAAAATAAAATAAAATTTTAAAAGACAGAAAAAAAGAAAGAAAGTAGAGGACACACTTTCTAATGAAATTGATTTCAAAGGTGGTAAAGAGCATCCACGGCCATCATCTCCAAATATCCAATCTACTTTTAAAACGTGAAGAATTACATAAGCAATTGTATTAATGTTGCAATTTTCTTTATTTGGATAGTCACACAGGTATTATGCGATTCACTCCTCCTTATTTACTTTATTATTTTATAATTAAATTTTGCAAAAATAAAAAATAAAAAATAATATTTGATTGACTTTTAATATATATATTATAAAATGAATAGAATTAAGGAAAAATTACAGCCTAGTCCTACTTTTCAATCCTAAAGACAAATAAGTCCTAAAAAAAAGTTTATAGGACAAAGAAGTCCTACTTTACATAAATATTTCCAATCAAGTCTTAAACTAAATAAAATTCCTAATTTACCCTTTCCATATTCCCCCTCACTCTCAACCCCTTTTCTCCCTTAAGCAAATCCTAGTCAAATGAAAAAAAAAGACGAACAAGAGGCAACCAAATCGCCGGCTGCCATAACTTCGCTGCCACAAATCGCCGCCACCACGGCAAACCGTTCCCGCTGTTGCGGATCGATTCACCGATGAGGACATTATGCAAATCGCTGCCGGAATCCATGGAGCCTATAGTTGCCGATGAGGTGAGTCTTTCCTCTCTCCGTTCTCTGTTCTCATCTTGCCGCCCCAACACACACACACACACATATATCCTGATCTCATTGCGAAAATCGTTACAGAGGGGGCAACTACATGACCTCGCTCGAAAAAAGCTTCGATCAAGGAAGAAGGAAGGCTGGAGGGGGTTTTGGCTTTGGATGATGTCGAGGACTCAGCCGCGATGGAGGGGTCGGCCGGTGAGGGCTCGGTCGTGATGGTTTGATCGGTGATGGAAGAAGAAGCTCAGCTTTAAGCCTGCGGCGTGGCTTGGCGGGATGGAACAGTAGCCAAGAATAGCGGCTGTGATGGATCCGGCAGGGATGGGCTGGCGGTGAGTTCGGTGAGGATGAACTCAGCCGGTGGAGACGGACGGCGGCAAGAATTAACCGGCTGACTCGGAGCGGAGGACTCAGCTGTGTTGGTGAACTCGAGCAATTTGGAGGTCGCAACGAGCTCTGTTTTGGTAAAAAGACTGACCAGATAAATCAGAGGAAAGAGATTTTGAGGAGAAATGTGTGGTCTCATCATCGCTGCTAAACCACCCAACTGAACTCTGTCAAACCTTTGGTTCCTCAAATGGATTCCCGGATTGGTTAAGGGAGAATGGGGGTTGAGAGTGAGGGGAATATGGAAAGGGTAAAATAGGGATTCTATTTAGTTTAGGACTTGATTGGAAATATTTATGTAAAGTAGGACTTCTTTGTTCTATAATTTTTTTTTTAGGACTTATTTGTCTTTGAGGTTAAAATGTAGGACTAAGATGGAATTTTTCTTAGAATTAACCAAATTTATAGATTGGGGATGGATATAATGGTGTGGGCCCCACAGAGTGCCCGCGCCATTGCATTTTGCTTTGATGGCGCGTGCTTTTCCGCCCAACTTAACGCGAGTAATTTAGGAGTCTGTCTCTCTCTGTCTCTCTCTCTCTCTCTCTAGGCAGCAATGCATCACAGTGAGTTGGACCGACCAACAACCATCAAGGGCCAACCAGGAGTGATGGAGGAGTCTATCTCACTCACTCACTTTTTTAATTAAGCCTTTACTTCTTGTTTACCTCTGTTTGTTTGTCTGTCTTTTGAGTTGTTGTCAATTGTCTATTGTAATCCCAACATTAATTTTTATTGTTTACAGTATTTTTTTATAATGCTGAGCTTTTTCAAAGCAAAATATACAATAATGAAAAGAACAGAGAGGCCTGCAGAAGAACAAATAAGCATAACAACAAAAACAAAAAGCTGAAATGAATAAGTATTTTTATTTATTAAATTACTCGGTAAAATGACACCTTCAAAAAATTTAATTTTGTTGACATCACTTCCGCTAAATACACAAATATATATATATATATATATATATATATATATATATTTGGCCTAGGATATATGAACAAGAAAGAGTTGTTGGTGTGTCTTCTGGCAAATACAAATACTCTTATTATATGTCCAATTATGTTTTACTAATTTTATAAACAGAATGATAAATATAATAGAAACATAAAAAGGGCCTGAACAAGGGATTTCTCATACCTTCAAAAATGAGATTTAGAATAATTTTTTATTTATTTATTTTATATATATATATTTTTAGGGGCTTGGACGAACAAGGTGTTGGCACTATTTTTTTATATTCAAAATACGTTTAAAAGATGGCCATTACAACTGCCATCCAAATTGTGGCATTATTCTAATATACATAAAGTAAAGACAAAATAAAACCCTAGATAGGATGAAGGCACCATCAACATCAAGGTCATCATTTAAGTGTTGGCAATGACATTCATATCGTTTTCACGTTGACAGTGACTTTTCTTTCGTTTCAATGCCATTCCATTTCTTTCTTTTTCTTCAGTCAAACCTCTCTCTCTCTCTCTCTCTCTCTCTCTCTCTCTCTTGCTGTTACATTGGCTTATTGCCCCCTTCGTTTTCTAATTAGTGTTGTAGATCATAGAGTTGAATACTTTAACCCTACATTTTCCAATGATCTCTTGGCTGAGTTCCTGCATTCTCCCATCTTTGTCTTCTTCGACTTCTCCTTCCAACAGCTCGTCACAATGAAATTAGGTGAGGTATATATATATATATATATATACATACTTTAGAAATTGTTTTCTTTTTCCAGGAAAGTAAGTAGATTCTAGAAATTGTTCACTTTCTCTGAAGTGCATTGTTTATTGAGTAGTACATTGGAGACTACAGTTCTTTGCTTGTTTGTTTTGGTTTGTCTTTTACTACAGGGATGTCATTTGTAATGGCTAAATACAAATTGTTGTGCATCAGCTACATCCATAGCAATTTATTGGAATTTAACTACTTGTTTGATAAAAAAAATTGATTACTATAACTTTCAAAAAAAAAAAAAAAAAAAAAAATTGACTAATAACCAAATTGAGGAAAAGTTTCATTTTCAATGCTTTTTTGTTTAGAATGGTAATTGCCTAACTGCTCAAGTAAGGGTTTGTTTTTTGTTTTTTATTTTGTGATGATCAGTAAATTGCTGAATCAATGAGAACTGAATTGTTTTATTCACATCTGAATTGGGCCTCAAATCGCATCTTCATAAGGTTACTTGATTATAAATTTTCAATTACTCTATTGGTACTTAAAGCCAGTGAATTTTGTATGCCTATACGCGGATATATAACTATTTTTCTATATTGTTTTTGGCACTGGTGACTGTACCCACCATATATTATTGTCTGTGACTATCTGTACAACTGGGTTAATTGTTCCCCTATTTTTGTTTTTCTTACTGTACTTTCTTGCTTAGTTTGTACTCCTAACAAAGAAAAATATACAGATAATGGAAAAATAAATTAAGAAAAAGTTTCAAACATAGTCACAGAATATTGGATGAGGCATCATTCATCCAACTTTTAAACAGTTAGAGTTGTATGGGGTCGAATTCGGAGGCTTTGGTGCCATCTTGCTGTTTCCTGTTAGTGATTGAGAAAATGTCAAATAGCCTAACCTCTCTGTTCTACAACTACTATCAATAGCTAATTCATCAGAAATAGATAGCATTTTAATTATTCATCCTAGGGTAAACAAATGCTTGTAGAAGCTTTTGAGAAATTTACAATTACAAAATTTTTAGAAATATTATTCATTTAAGCTCGCAACCACCCCAAAAAAAAAAAAAAAAAAAAAAAAAAATGGAAAAAGAAAATATAGAGAAAAAAATAAAAATAAAAAAAATAACGTAAGTAGAGGAAAGACCAATTTTAGCTCTTGATCTCACTATTGTAATGTGTCTTAATATCTTTTAATGTTAATTGATTTTGCTAGAGTATCTCATTTGGTTATTTAGCCTTATTCTCTACTTATATCGATAATATTTGACTTAGAGCTACATTTCTAATAGTTTTATAGAATCTTACAATTCTCGATCCTACAATTCCGATCCTACGGACCCCTCATCGATCTAACGTAGAATCTCGATCCAAACAACCTTAAGTCCAATATCTTAGCTTGAACGGTTGGGATCTCATTGAACCTTGTTTGGCTGGTTGAAGTTAACGCTACTGGTCGAGCAGTCTATGTAGTGTATTTATCCATTCAATAGTATGCTCTATCAGTTGAGCACCCACTGTCTTGATTTTGATAGACCGTAAACCATAATTACATCATTTATGATTCTTTATGTTAAAAACAAAAATTTTCGAAGGATTATTTATCAAAATTACCAAACAAATTCCTTCCATAATTACCCAACAGAATGTCCCTGGGAACAGAGCCCCTGAATCCCAGAATTAGTGTCTATTATGTGATGGTGGGCTATTTTGGCATACCTTTCCCTTAGGCCTATAGTTCTGCAGCTCTCTGACTTTAAGAAAAAGTCTCTCTGCCTTATGGCTCAGATCATAAATTTTTCTTTTCATATTAAGCTTCTTAATCAGTTTTTGGATTGATTCAGTCAAATATCTGGATAAAATTGTGTGGCAAACTAATCTAATGACTAATCAAAGTAAATCCTAATCCCTCTGAGTCACTTATCAATCCTAAATTCTGTGTTTGAGGAAGCTTGAAGAATCACGTTGATGTTGATCGCAACTCTGTCATCAATTCTCAGTCACATCTTCAATGTGAAATTATCTGATGAAGTGACACAATCTTATTGACCTAACAAGACTTTTGTTCACCAGAATATGTCAAAAACATTTGTTCAAAAGATATGACAAAAACTTCTGTTCACCAGAATATGTCAGAACTTTGTTGTAGTATGCTAACAGAATATGACTGAGATGGGTGCAGTCCTCAATTTTCAACATTCTAAGCATCAGCTGGGCTTCCTAGTTACTGCAGGAATTCTTAAGAGTAATAATCCTTTGTTATATGAATTTAGCTGCATTCTTTGGTCATAGAGACACTATAATGGAAGTTCCTTGGTCTGAGTACAGGAAATGTGATTATGTCTCCGGTGTTCTTTTTGTGATGTGATTTTCTATTTCCTGAATGGTCATCTCCTGGCTAGTTATTGATCCAGCCATTACTTCTATGGGGTAAAGGAAGAAAGGTCATCACTTCAAGGAAGCAGTTTATTTGTTAAGATCATGCATTCTTAGACAGAGAATTTCGTTCACCCTGTACCTGTAAAAATGGTTTTGGACATCTGCCTGGAACTTAGTTCCTCAGATTCACATCTTGTGTGCAACGTACTACTCTATTTCACAATCACGTCAGTCTATTACTCCCCCAGAATTCTTGTCCCTTTTTCCATATCTGGATGTCCTAAAATTCATGTCCATTTAAAAGTCAATGTGAAAAGATTATTATATTTGTCCCACTATATTCTTAACTTTTGAAACTTTTTCTAACTAACAATATGAACTCTTAAACTTTTAATGGGTAATTTTTTTTTTTGATAAGTAAGATTATATTGAAGAAAGGCACTCAAAAGGGGAGCGCTCCCAGAGGAAACAAAACTGACCAAGGCGGCACTATAACTTTAAGTTATCCACAAAGTCCAAAAGACAATCTATAGAGTTACAATCCCTCCCATTAACCCAAAAGAATAAAGTAGATATAATATTGAATTTAAGAGACCAAATAGGAGACTCCTCTTGCTCAAAGGATCTCCTATTCCTCTCACACCACAGACCCCACCAAATACAAAGGGGAGTAGCCCTCCAAGCATCTTTGACTCGGCTCTCCACTATACACCCTTTCCAAGTCTCTAGTATATCCATGGTGGAAAAAGGAAAAACCCATGGAAGACCAAAAGCCGCCAAGAACATAGACCAAACATCCCTTGCCACCGAGCAATGAAGGAGAAGATGGTTCATGGATTCACCCGACTTCTTACACATGTAGCACCAGTTGACCGTAACGTGACACCTCCTTCTAAGGTTGTCAAGAGTAAGGATACTTCCCATGGCAGCAATCCACGAAAAAAATGCCACTTTCAATGGAGCTTTCGTCCTCCAGACAGCTTTCCAAGGGAAAGTGGGGCCAGAACGCTCCATTAGATCACAATAGAAGGACCTAACCTCAAATATCCCTCCGTAGACAGTTTAAGATTTCCCACTCATTAAATGGGTAATTTTGGAATTTCTAAAGGGGACAACACGCTAAACGCATGTCCTGTTAAAGAGTTGGAATTCCTTTTATATTCAGTAATGAAAAAGCGATGGAGATCGAGAGGAGTTTTGCTCTTATGTTGAGTGCAGACATAGGACATTCTGTCAGGGTTGCATTTTCATTTTCAGGATTTTTTTTTATAATTTATTTGGTATTTACTTGTCTTTAATTTTCAGGGTTTCTTATTTAGAGTTTGCCTATAAAATGCTGGATGTAATAGAACTTAGTAGGTTTGATTATTGAATAATATTTGTGGTTTCAGAGTTTTCTCATGTTCTCCTTTCTTGCTCTTCCAGACCCCTTAGTTTTCTAGCCTCATCTTTTCAGTCTCTGATCTTATCCCATTTTTCTATTTTCTCTTTTTTCTTCAAACCTCATCCCCACTTTTACATCTCACCTTGTTATTTCTTTTTGGTTCTACATCAACTTGCTGTCAGAGTGTTTTTAGTTCGTTTCTGGACTACATCAGTTTGGTATCAGAGCACTAATATATCCTGTATCAAAGAACTCATTTATTTTGTATTCTTCTTCCTATTACAATTGATGATACCAAGACCGGCTTAGACCGCTATAATGCCTTTTATTTATAAATAGAATTATGTAAATCTTTAAACATTACTAAGAAACTGGAATATAAGATTATATGTTACTTTATTATTATTAATTTTTATGGGCACTTAAATACTGAACATGTCTACATGTAGTGCTTCAGCAACCCAATGTTCTCTGTCTTTCTGTTCTACACATAAGCAATTAAGAATCTCTGTCTGTCCATTGTATCAACGCATGCTATCATATGGGGTTTGCATTTCTCTTGTTTTCTTTTCTATTCTTCTGTTCTGCTCATATCATCTTTATCCATCATTCCTTATTCCTTGGGTCTTTTCTCGTTTATATGTTTTTTATATAGCTTTAATAAATTTTGCTTGTTAATGAACTTTGCAATTTTGAACTCAAGTTTTGCTAACTGGAGGCTCAAGTTTCAATCTGTAAACAGTTCATAATATATCATGCACCTTATATTTATTGATACGTATTTTATCTCCTACATATTTAAAAAAATGATTTATTTAGAAATTTCTCTTGAACATGGATTAGGTTGTCAAGAAGATGACTTGGACTCATCCCCTGGGCAAAGTATGGATGGAAGTTTCAGGAAGTCCAGATCTGGTTTGTATACATATTTAATGCAATATCTTTGATCAATGCCCTGGACATGAAATTCTTAGTAGTTTGTACATGGTGATAAGTGAGGTCTTTGTCAAGTAGGATTCCTTTTGTTCCAATATCTTCTTGTTTATATTATGAATAATTAAGTTAATATTTGGATAAATAGTAATGAGCACAGCCTTTCACTGGAATAATTATATTTTGTTTAACTTTTAGTCACTTGTGAAAGTAGAATTAATTGTAGAGTTTATAGAAGATTACATAATTTAATTAAGTTTTCTTTAGTGCTGTTGGATACTTCTAAGGGAAGCTTGATAATAAAATTGTAAATGTGAAGAGATGCATTACAACCAAAAGGATTAAAAATTAGTAGGACCAAACTAAAATGTTCGGAATGTAAATTTAATAAAGAATCAAGTATTGATCATATAAAAATCACACTTCAAAACCAAAAGATGATTCAAAATAACAATTTTTGGTATTTAGGATAAATAATATAGAAGGATGGATATATAGATGGTGATATAAATAGTAGAATTAGATCACATTGGACAAAATGGAGGCAGACTATTGATGTTTTATGCAATAAACTAAAAGGTAATTTACTTATCAAAAATAAATAAATAAACTAAAAGGAAATTCTAAGCAGGTTGTTGGGCTTCTAAAAGGAAACAAGAACGATGTCATGTAGCTGAAATGAGGATGGTAAGATGGATTGTGGAGTGACTAAAAGAGATACGGTTTACTACTCAAAGTGTGAGGGAGAAATTAATAGTTTATTTCATGATAAGTGTATTTCAATTCTTTTCCTACAGTTTATTATCAACCAAAGTTGAGCATAAATGGAAAAAGATGATATGCGAAACTTGTCCTGAACTGAGTTAGGTTCCGCTCGTTTTTATAGGAGATTGGTAGATGTGCAGGGCCTTTCCTTCCCTTCCCTTGGAATGCCATTTGACACACAAAAAGCCCCATTAAAGGTGGCTTTTTTTGGGTGGACGACAACCTTGGGGAAGATTCTGACTTTCTTCGAGTAGACAACATCGTCGGGGAGGATTCTGATGATTCACAACTTGAGGAGGAGGTGGCAGATTATCGTCAATTGGTGCTGCATGTGCGGGAGGGATGGGGAATCGGTGAACCATCTTCTTTTGCATTGTCTGTGGCTAGGGAGGGTTGGAATCTCCTAAAAAAAAAAAAAACTGAAGTGTGTTGATGTTACACATCAAATCTGTAGATTCTGATAATAACAATGCATAACAACTAGAATGACTTTCAATATTCTTTATTTTGATTTTTCTCACTTCAAGTAATTATTTAACTATAAGATATAGCGTGATGTCCTAATTTTAATCAAATGCTCTAATTAAAAACTGTGAACTCTATGACATTTATTTATATTATTTTCTGAAAGTAAAATTTCATTAAGCAGCACAAGAAAGGAGGGGGTTCTACTCCTCTTGACAAGGTTGAGTGATTAGCACTTGAAAACCAATATCACATGCCCTGTTGAGAAGTTTAACTTCTGGTCCAGGTTTGTTGAATATGGTTCCTCTATAATATTTGAAGACAATTAGGCTCCAAAATTTTCTGTTGAATTACAGTGCAAGTGAGGAGGTCTTTTCACTTTTACAAAACTAGTAGTTTTGAGATCATAAATCATATGTATACGTGGATTATGGAGTTTAAATCATATGGTCTACCTTTACTGAGTTTTTGTTTATTCTTAATGAGCATTTATATATGTCCTAATGCCAAAATTTGGTTGTTTACGATCTTGTTGATGACATGATTCAGATTTTCAACAAAATGATTCGGACTCATCTCCAGTGCATAGTTTGAGCGGAAGTTTCAGGAAATCTAGGTTTGGTATGTAAATATGACCAATCTTCCTTTTTACTTAATTTCTCCTCCAACGATTTGCTAGCTGATTTTCTACAATTTAGCTCATTAAAGTATTAAATTTGAGTAAATCACTTTTATTTTTTACTATTGAATGTCTGCATGAAAATTTTACTCCTATTTGACGAAACATTAAGGTAAAATGTGTGGAGGCAGTGAGAAGTTCTGATTAAAGGTTTTTAACTGAGGATATGGCTCAAAATAGGGTTGAATGGTGAGAAATGTTCAACATAGCTGATCCAAGCAGTTGGAATAAGGCTTTTCCAAGGTTCTCTCATTTATTTGACTTCCTATTATTGCTTTTAAAAAATTGTGTGCAGATTATTATGACATGCACCCATCACTTAATGATGAAGATGGTAGGCAAATATTTGAAAAGTGTATAACCATATTTTAATTTTCAGTGACAATAATTGAACCTTTACCCCACCCCATCCCTTTTACTTGTCTTTTTTTTTGGTTCTCATAATTCCTAATTTCTTTAACCTTTGTGTGTAGTTTGCTTATTGCATGATTCAAATTTAATATGGTGTGACCAAGTGGCATGTCTGGCCCCTAAGGCAATGATTGGTATCATGAATGCAAAAAACAACAGTCCTACTTTTGTTGTAGGTCTAGCAATCAATTCTCGAATTCCTTCTCCAATTGGGACCCATGAATAACATTTCATGAATTTAGATATTCATTATAAAGGGTAGTACATCTTTTTATCTTGATAAGTTAAACTTTTGAAGTGATTACATGCATTAAATTATTTTGCTGGAGAGCTTCAAATCCTAGAATATATATAGGCAACCCTGAGCAAAATATAAGAACCCTAAAAGTTAGAAAGCTGAAAAAAAAAATATATATATCCCTAGAAAACTTGTGTTTACACCTATTCTTACGTGTCACAGGAGACACATCATGATCTCCATTAGTTTTGCCTGATTGAGAAGAACTTGCCTCCAAAGAGTAAGTTGGTGGCACCTTTCCTAAAGGTTTGGGTCAATATGGTGAAACTAATCCTCCATAATCTACATGGCATTGAAGCATGGATGACCTTTCCATCAACCAAGATAGCATTGGCTATCTCCTTGATGAGAAGTATCACTTTTGTTGTACAATATTGTATGAGTTGTCACCTACCCCTCATTACCATATATAGAATTACCATGTATAGGGTTTTCTTGTTCTCCACTCACCTACTCCCGTAGCTTCTCCTATATAAACACCATTGTATTATTGTATTATTGACTGAATAACATATACGTTTTCATATTTCTCTTTCTCTCTCTCTCTTTAAACATGGTATCAGAGCGGAAATCGATCCCTCTTTGAATTTTTTTTTCTTAGTTTTATTCAGACTCCGATCTTGATTCCATCTCGGCTTTCTCTCAATCTCTTCTCGGCGATCTCTCCTCAGTGATCTCAGTTCTCGTCTTAGCAATCTCTCTCGAATCCCTCCTCAGCTCTTTCCTCGATAATTTCTCTCGGGTTCATCTCGGCTAGATCTTGGTTCTCTTATCTCAGCTCCCTTTTGCTACTATATCTCATTTGTTCGGTAGCTCTTGTGATGGATACTAAAGAATCCCATCTTCTTGGATCAATCACCAGCACCAAACTGGTAAAGCGTGAGCGTGCAAATCATCCCCCCTCCACTGCTATTATTGTTACTTCAGGTAATACGTGTCTCCATGCTTTATCTTCTACACCTTGGATCATTGATTCAGGGGCATCCGATCACATGCCCATCTCTTCTTTCTGATATTGTTAATGTTTTCTCACCATCGGTTGTTACTATAGCGAATAGTGCCAATCACCTTTTCATGGAATTGGTACCTTCCACACTTTGGGTCTCACTTTTTCATCAGTTTTATATATCCCTCAATTTTCATTCAATTTATTGTCAGATCGCAAAATCATATCAGATTTAAATTGCTCAGTTACTTTTTCTCCTTCTCGTTTTGTCTTTCAGGATCTCAAGACGAAAAAGACAACTGGTGGGGGGTTTGAGAAAGATGGTCTTTACTACTTCCAGCCAACTACTGCTCCGACAGCTTTACATTCCACCTCCTCTTCAACTTACTAGTGGCATTGCCGCTTTGGACATCCCTCTTCAAATAGTCTTCGAGCCTTGGTCCCTTATGTTGTTGATTTTTCTAAGTTTAATTGTACTACTTGCGAACTTAGTAAACATCGTCCGGCTACTTTTAAGTCTCGTTTTGATAAAAGTGTAAAACCTTTTGAGTTAGTACATTCAGGTGTTTGGGGACCAGCTCGTACTACTGGTTTATTTGGTGCTCGTTATTTTGTGTCATTTATTGATGAATATTCACGTTTAACTTGGGTTTATATTCTTAAAGATAAATCTCAAGTATTCTCTGTTTTTCAATCATTTTATGCTGAAATTCAAAATCAATTTGATGCAAAATTACTTGTTCTTAGAACTGACAATGCCGTTGAATATAAACTTAATGTTTTTCAAAAGATTCTTGAGTTGAGGGGCGTTATCCATCAAACATCTTGTGTTGATACCCCTCAACAAAATGGAGTTGCTGAACGGAAGAATGGCCCATTCCTAGCTATCACTCGTGCCTTGATAATGAAAATGCATGTTCCAAAACATTTTTGGGCAGATGCAGTTTTGGTTGCTGCTTATCTTTTAAACCGCATGTCTTTTAGGATCCTTCAAGGAAAATTACCCTTCCAAATGATGTTTTGTTACAAAAATCCTTTTTCCATTCCTCCAAAGGTGTTTGGGTGTGTCTGTTTTGTTCATAATCTAAGCTTGGGACGAGACAAACTTGATCCTCATGCTCACAAATGTATTTTCTTTGGATATTCTCGCACTTAAATGTTACAGTCCAACTCTTTGTAAACAATTTGTTTGTGCAGATGTAACTTTCTTTGAGGGCCTTCCTTATTATTCTTAGGAACGCAGTAGTTTGGAGGACTCTGTTCTTCAAGAGTCTGTTCTTCCAACTCCAGTTTTTAATTCTAACATCCCACCAACTCTTCGTGTCTATGCTCGTTGCTGGAAAAGAGTAGTTAATCATGTTCCAACAACTGAAGTAGTAAACCCAGCTTTGCCACTTACACCAGTCGCTTTAACGCCTGGAGATTCTTCTATCCCTCCGGACTCTGATCTTGATCAACCTATTGGTGTTCAAAAAGGTAAACGGTCTTGTACCAATCACCCTATCTCTAATTTTGTATCGTATAATAAATTGTCCTCCTCTTTCCAAGCTTTTTCTTTGTCATTATCCTCTATTGTTCTTCCTAAGTCCTACAGGGAGGCACTTTCTCATCCAGGGTGGTGGAAAGCTATGGAAGAAGAAATAAACGCTTTAAAATTGAATCATACTTGGGACCTTGTTCCTAAGCCTGCAGATACTCAGGTTGTTGGTTGTCGTTGGGTTTTTACTGTTAAACAGAATCCTGATGGTACTGTTGACCATCTCAAAGCTCGACTTGTTGCTAAAGGCTACACTCAGACTTATGGCCTTGATTATATTGAGACGTTCTCTCCTGTGGCCAAATTGAATTCTGTTCGTGTGATAATCTCTCTTGCAGCTAATCTAGGCTGGCCACTTCATCAACTTGATGTTAAAAATGCCTTTCTGCACGGTGAACTTAATGAGATAGTCTATATGACTCAACCACCTGGGTTTAAGTATAAGGGAGAGTATGTGTGTCCTCTCAAGAAGTCTATCTATCGCCTCAAACAATCCCCTCGTGTATGGTTTGATAAGTTCAGTAAAGCAGTGGTAGCTCATGGTATGACCCGAAGCCAAGCTGACCACTCTTTTTTTTTTAAAGAAAACGAAACGTGGTATTGTGATTCTTGTGGTGTATGTAGATGATATTATTATCACCGACAGTGACAAAGATGGGATACAAGTTCTAGTCCATCACTTGAGTTCTAGCTTCCTTACTAAGGATTTGGGCAAACTTTTGGTATTTTCTAGGAATTGAGGTGGCTCTGTCAAAGCAAGGCATTAGTATTTCTCAACGGAAATATACTCTTGATCTCTTACAGGATACAGGATATCTTGGTTCGAAACCTATAGCTACACCCATGGAGACTAATGTAAAACTTAAGGTGGATGATGGTGACCCACTTGATGATCCAGAGATTTATCGGAGACTTGTAGGTAAACTTATTTACCTCACAATCACTCGTCCATACATCTCCTATGCAGTCAATGTTGTGAGCCAGTTCATGACCAGTACTCAGGTACATCACATGGAGGTAGTTGTACGCATCTTGAAGTTTCTCAAGGGTGCTCTGGGACGTGGTCTGCTTTATCGATCTCCTGGACATCTTCGACTTGAGGGATATACAGATGCAGATTGGGCCAGTTCTCCTTTTGATCAATGGTCCACCACGGGTTACTGCACCTTCATAGGAGGAAATCTAGTAACTTGGAGGAGTAAGAAACAGTCAGTTATGTCTCGTTCCAGTGTTGAAGCAGAGTATAATGCCATGGCACACATTGCCTGTGAACTTGTTTGAAAACTCTTTTACAGGAACTTGGGATTTCAGCCCAGTACCTAATTCCTCTCCATTGTGACAATTAGGCAACTATTCATATTGCTAGCAATCTAGTCTACCATGAGAGGACTAAACACATTGAAGTAGATTGCCATTTCATTCGATCTAAAGTTGACTCGAATGAGATTGTTACACCTTTTGTTCCTTTTGGTAGACAGCTGGCAGACATCTTCACTAAGGCGCTTCCCAAGGACTCTATTGATTCCATATGTAGCAAGCTGGGAGTTATTGACATTTACTCTCCAGCTTGAGGGGGAGTGTTGTACAGTATTGTATGAGTTGTCACACATGTACAATTAGTATTGTATGAGTTGTCACCTATCCCTCATTACCATATATAGAATTACCATGTATAAGGTTTTCTTGTTCTCCACTCACCTACTTCCGTAGCTTCTCCTATATAAACACCATTATATTATTGTATTATTGGCTGAATAACATATACGTTTTCATATATTCTCTTTCTGTCTCTCTCTTTCAACAACTTTGATAGACACACAACTCCTCCAGTACAAGGCTCAAAGGGGCCTAGAAGAAACAAGTCCTCCACATCGGAAACTGGATAAATAATCATATCTGATGGCAAATAAATATCCATTAAATCCTAATTTATGAATGATTTGGAAGGGTCTGGAAGTTTGGACATGTCATTTCTTGAAGGAGTTCTAAGGTAACGGTTTGGCTGTACACAACCATAGTATAATCTCATGGGTAAACTACATTGACCTCCCTTGAGGTTTCGATTAATTACACGATGCAACCATGTTTGTTCAAAATTACACCATGTCCCCTTGAAGTTTGGCTCACCCAACCATTAGAATCATGAATGATATTTTCAAAAAGGACTTGGTTGCCCTTCCCTTGTTTGAAAAGACAATAATAGCCTTAAAACTATGGTGTGAGATAACAAAAAAGACCACACATTGACTGAAAAGCCCTTGACTATTTGAATCCATCAAAAGTTAAACAAAACAAAGCCATGGACGCCCAAAACCGTGAGAACCAACATGTAAATATACACATTTATACACACGCCAATACTCACATCCATCCATCATCAAATTCGGCCAAGCTTGCATCAGAGTTTATTGAAATAATGATTAGACTTCAAATAAAGAACAGTCAATGAACAAATGGTTTCTATCTTCTATTTTGTCTCTGCAAAAGACAACTATTGTTGTTTACCAAGCCTATTTTTGCATTCTACACTGAGTAAGAAGCTTGTCTTGCATAGCTAACCAAAGGGAAAAAGCATGTATAGGAATATTTTTAGGGAACAAAACAATATCATGAGTGATGAAATCTGGAATTATCCCAAGCTGCCTTGATAGTAAATGGAGCTTTAGTTGGTAACAAAACCAATCTATATGTAGTTTTACTAAAGTTAAATTCCAAATTTTTGTACTTTTGTGGTGTTTGTCTAAAATATATAGCCTTTTGCATGCATTCATATTCTAGGTTGGATCAACTATATTCTCAGCAAGCAGCTATCACAGTCATTTGTTTACTGTGTGAAAAATTGAAATTTATGCTCACTTTTTTTATACTAGCAAATATTTCTCTAGAATCTCGACTTCATATCTGTTGATAAGATTTCCATTGAATTTGTGGATCTACTTAAAACTATAGATCAATCTCTCTCAGACACAAACTCTCTCCCTCAATTAGAAAAATGCAATTTCCCTTACCTTTTCCTGTTCTCTTTGTTTTCATTTGTCATATGGAATGCAGGTCTCTCTGCTCATAGAACATCCAGCGTTTCAGCTTCGAGCAAGTCCATTCCTACTTCAAGAAGGGTTTTCAAGGTGCTAAAGGAATTCAAAAGGAACCTTGTTGACCTAGATTTATTTACACAAAATCTTGAAAATTGGGTTCTGGAGAATTCACTTGCAGATAACGATGAGGGACAGTGTTTCAGGTCGCCATTTACGATTGAGGAACTGCGCACACTTGATTTTGCATTGGAGGGGATCTTATTTCGACAGCTATTCCGCATGCCTTGCTCTCCTTATGCTTCTGGCAATCTGAAAGAGGATGGGTATCTTGCAGTAGAAGATTTCCTGCATGCTATTGCAGATGGCTTGTGGCGTACATTCTGGCACAAAAATGGTCCTTTGCCGTACTTTGTATCCTGCCCTAGTTATCCTGGATCCAAGTTTTATACTGTCGAGAAAGCAATATCAAGGGGAAGGCTTGGAGGGCTTTGTGGTGCAGCTTTGGTATCAAAAACAGGGAGCAATTTACAAGTCCACTGGGATGAAGTGGTTGAGTTTGCACTATTCAGACCAGACATTACGATGGGAAATGAATTTGGGATTTCTTCTACCATGATTTGTGAAGCCCTCTTCTATGGTATTCATATACTTATTTCTAGGAGTTTGAGCAAGTACAGTTCTGTTACCAGTGACTCTGTTTTTCTTTTAGTTCTTGATTCTAAATTTGGAGGTGTTGTGAAACTTGGAGGTGACCTTGGCAAACTTGAAGTTAACTCGAGTAACCCATACCACTCTATGCTAGAGTGGATTAAGCATCATGCTGAAATCAGTGTATCCCCAGTGGACCGTATATGGAACAAACTTGGGAATGCAAATTGGGGGGACGTGGGAACCCTGCAACTACTTTTGGCAACTTATTACTCCCTTGTCCAGTGGAATGGGCCACCAAGAAAATCAATTGCCTCACTTGCCTCAGATCACAGTTTCCGTCTTCAGAAGCGTAAGATACAATTCCGCCTCATCGAGAATGAAAATGAGCTTGCACTCCTCCGACAGGCTAGTCATGAACATGGAGAAATTGTTGAACTAGACCACAAAGAGACCTCATTCAAGAAGCCGTCACGTTTGAAGCTGAAGCAGGGTGATATAATGCTACTGGAAGATCAGCTGCAGGGGCAGAAAGGTTTTCAAATACAGGAGTCTCTGGAGAGTGGGAACTGTAATTCATACAGCGCTGTTTGTTTAGAGTATCCGAGAGAGTTGTTGACAGTATATGTGGGTGCTCATCCATCAAGACTTGAGCCATCTTGGGAGGATATGAGTCTGTGGTACCAAGTACAAAGGCAAACCAAGGTGTTAAATATCTTGAAGCAACAGGGCATTTCGAGCAAATATCTGCCAGAAGTGATTGCCTCAGGCCAATTTTTGCATTCTGGTCCTTGTAAGAAACATAGCACAAGGGGATGCGATCATACATGGTGTGGAACCCCAATACTAGTGACATATCCTGTTGGGGAGCCACTTTCATTCATAGTAGCTCAGGATGGTTCAATTTCTTCTGACGAGGCAATTAGATGCTGCCGAGATTGCCTGGCAGCTCTGCGAAGTGCAAAAATGGCCAGTGTCCAGCACGGTGATATCTGTCCTGAGAACATAATACGTTTAGTTGACACGAAAGTTGCTAGTGGTTTTCTGTATGTTCCTGTCTCATGGGGGCGTGCAGTTTTGGAAGACAGAGATAGCCCAGCGATAAATTTGCAGTTCTCGTCATCTCATGCACTTCAGCACGGAAAGCTTTGCCCTTCATCTGATGCAGAGAGCCTTGTTTACCTCCTTTATTTTGTTTGTGGGGGAACTATGCAGCAGCAGGATTCAATTGAATCTGCATTGGAATGGAGGCAGAGATATTGGGCAGAGCGTCTGATTCAGCGGCAGCTGGGTGAGGTTTCAGCTCTATTAAAGGCATTTTCAGACTATGTGGATAGCCTTTGTGGGACCCCGTACCCTGTCGATTATGATATATGGGTGAAGAGACTGAATATGGCTGTGGATCGCTCTGCAGATAGAGGTAAACTAACTGAAGAAGTATTTAGGCTAAAGGATGTTGCCGAGTCTTCTGGAACATCTGTAGGTGGAAATTCCTTTTAAAGTTAGGATAGGTCAGCATTTTTTCCACGGTCCGGGTTGGGTTTACCTTGAGAGGTTGTTAGTTGTAACCATTTTTTGGATTGATTCAACTTTATGTTATTTATTGAGCTTGTGGATTTTGAAAATTTTTTATTTTACCAAAGCTCAGCTTTGTCTAATTGCAACTTCCGGGAGAATTCGGATGACCATCATCATTCAAGTCGTTAAAATGTAAATTTATGTCAATTGTGATTGTTATTTGTTAAACTACAATAGTTTTGATTTTTATTTGAAATTCTAATTGATTATACTAATTATTTCCATATTCCTATAAGACACTAGTTTGTCACTTTGTCCCCTTGGACGATGCAAAGAAGTGGAAGAGGAAGTGTGGTCTATTTGAAAGAAAGCTAAGCCTGCCAACCTCAAATATTTAGCTTACAGTGTTTGTGCTGCAAAAGATGCGATCTTCGCAAGGGCCTTAGATGGAGAATTGTTGATGGTAATTCTGTGCAATGTTGGCAAGAACCGTGGCACGCACCCAGGTAAGTTGAATCCTCTTATTTCTTCCCAAAATCAAGGTGTTGGAATTACATGGTTGGCTAACTTAATTGATCCTTCTTTGAAATATTGGAAACTCTCTCTAGTAAAACAGATTTTTAATCTACGAGAAGAACGCTTTATTCTTCAAATTCCATTGCAGCAAGCAGAAAGAGAAGATGTCAAGATGTGGGGATTGTCAGCGGATGACAAATTTACTGCTTGTAGGGCTTTTATGAAGATCTTTCAGGGGGCTTTATGGATGTTTTGGTGGAGGGGGGTTTGCCAAATTTTGATCAACTTGCAGATTACCACTCACTGCTTGTAGGGCTTTATGAATGATATCTTCCACATTTTTGCTCTCTCCAGTGTAATAGCGCGTGGATAGTAATGTTCTGGTTTGTAAATGGAAATTTTCTCCCTTTGGATCCATAGAAAAGAAGAAGCAACTGGAAATTTTCTCCCTTTGTATTTGACAGTTTTTAATTTTTAATTTTTATATATGTATAGCAACTAGATAGATTGAGTTACAGAACAGTCCAGGAATTGTATAAGGTTTGTTCTGTAACACGATTGCAAATTTCTCATGTCCACACTCTCGTATTCTATTTTTGCATGAAGACACCGTACCAACAATAATACTCTTAATACTCCAGTCCATTGGCCCAGGTGGTATATCTTGTCCTCTTCAACGAGCGCGGGGAAGAATTTCTTTCTTTTTGGTTAATCTTCAATTCAAAAGATTATTGGTGGCTGATTTCCGAACCAAAGGATCAATTATGGGTCTAAATTAAACATACAAAACTCTCAAATACAAAAAATTCAATGATAATTTGCTGTAGGGTTGGTAAGATGGGTGTCTTATAATCGGGAGCCCAGGATCAGCCAATTTATTTTTGTTCAAAGTTTGTTAAGAATTCTATTTTTTTTCATAAGCTTAATTCTCACTAAAATCCATCAACATGATTGAAACAACATGGAAAGAACCATCCAAGCATGACTCATTTAGTATGTTTCAAAACCAAAAGAATATCATCAATAGTTTTTTTTTTTTTTTTTTTTTTTTAACATTGGTAAAGACAAGAAGCCCAACGGCAGATCCACAAAAGACAACCAAAGCAAAAGGCACAATACCCAACCCAAGGATACAGACGTGGTAACAACCACCAACACGAAAAAGCATAACCACAAAACACAAAAAAACGTGATCATTGATAAGTTACACATGTCCCACCAGATGACACAAGACGTGGCCCTTGATAAGCAAATACCCAAGGGGCATCAACAGTCACACAACAACGAAAATATGTGCCAAAAACTGTTGGGAGCGACTTGTCGTAACTTCAGCGCCACACAGCAACCCCAAGACTGGACGTTGACTTCCACGATAGCAAGTAATAAAGAAAATTATGGATAGCAAGTAATAAAGAAAAGAAAACTACAAAATTGGATTTCATTTTTTTTGTTTTTTTTTAATTCAATAATTTTGAGAGTTGTTGTAATGAAAAGCAATTAGTAGAAATGAACCCAAAAAACTCAACTGACGTTAACAATGACACAATAGGCAGGAAAGTCTTCGATCCTTAGCATATCAGGTGCCAATGAATGACTTAGAAATAGAAGGGAGACCAAACTCATGGCAATATCTACATCAATAGAAATGATAACAATATGAATGTTTCCAATTTGCACTGAAGAAACCCTAATTTGAGTGTTGGCTCCAGATTATAAGACACGTATCACAAAGTAAAATTCAACACCAAATTTTCGTTGTTGTGATGGCACCAAGTAGCCATCAATTTGCCCCAACATAGTCTCAGCCAACGCTCTTGGTGCCTAGGACACACACACTGCCACATAACGAAGATTAAGTAGGAATGAAAAACAAGTACACATAGCTTTACTGAAGCCTTATGACTCCCCACCTACACTATATTCACAAAATAGTACAAGGAAATGACATATGTCTATAGTAAGATGACAATGCACACTTTGCACCAACTTCCGTGCCTATTGCAGACCTTCACAAGGCTTATATACAGGCCTCCCTCCGAATCACCCACAAAAGCCACTAACTTGGTAGATGACATCCCATCCACTTAGGGAGAAGATATTCAATGTGCCCCGTGCACACAACCGTCCATATTAGCACGTGTTGTGCATGCGCCCACGCGTGTAAGACACAAACGGTTGTATTGTGCTCGGTGCACACAACTGTCCATATCCACGCGTAATTCATTAATCATTTTTTAATGCTTATAACCCCATGCAACTCATCAAATGAATGCATAAATAAACCCTGTATGACAAAGCATATAAGCACTTAAATCATGTTAAGTCACATAATGAAAGCATTAAACACTTAAGCACATAAGCATACAAAATGCCAAGTCAATATAAAGCATAAAGAAAACCCAACTTGTCGTCCATAGTTTTCGAACCCGGACGCTCTGATACCATTTTGTAACAACCCAATTTCCAAAATTCAGTGCATAAATGAGAAACTCAAAAACCCGACCCGATATCGAGTCAGAAATGCAGAAGCGAAATAATGAAAAGATCACTAGAGGTAAACTCCACCTCTAGGACCACAAGAGAACCTCGTATGAGGTCACAAGACTCATCTCAAAGAAAAAAGCGGAAGCTAGAACAAAAGCATTAACTAGTCACAAATGTGGAGGGGAACGCAAAAGAAAACATCATTAGAGATAAAGACTATCTCTAAGACGACAATAAAATCTCAAACAGAGTCAATAAAACTCAAACACAAATGCAACTGCAGAATCTAAAGAATATAATAGGCACAATGGACACAAATGCGGAAATAAAGGGATAAAATGGTCATAAACGTGGACAAATCATCCAACAAGGTCACAAACACACTTAAAGAATAATAACATACACTAATGGACCATAAACTATCCATGAAAGGTCACAAAGTGGGGCCTACGTGGCTTAAAGATCATAAACTGGAAGCAAGAGTTTCGGTTACTGAAATGGCCAACTTGGTCGATGTGAAGTCCCTAGGCCTCGACTGAAAACTAGAAGTCTCGAAAATGCTCTCTATGCTACAGTGAAACGGAGTCTATCGATCGACGTGTGCAAGCCATGCGTGGATCGAAACTCTGCAAAAGTGCTCCAATCGAGCCATAACTTCGAAAGGTCAACAAAGAAGGCGAGGGGAATGACAAAGTCTCCTTCAGCCGCCTCCGAATCCAAACTTGAACTTGGCCCCAAAAACCCGAAATCCCCGGAATCGAAAATTAAGACAAGGGTTATGCTCCCCTTGGTTTCCTTGACGTAAAACCCTCCTACGGCAACTTGTAATCTCAACAAAACGAGATGAAATCAGCTCTTAAAGCCAAGAACACAAAAGAAAAAATAAAAGGAAAAGAAAAGAAAAATTGGAAAGGAATGGGAGGGGGGATCCAGCTGCCAAGCTGCTTCCCTCTCTCTCTTAACATATGCATACATGTGTAAAGCAAACAAAAGCCTAAAAAGTATCTCGTGGGTCCCGTAAAATCCGAAACTGCGAAATGGCCCAAAAATAAGAAAATATCTAAAAAATAATAATGTGATTGACCCGAAATAAAATATGATGTCCAAAACATCCCAAATAAAATATATAGGTCCGATATAATCCCAAAATAATAAATGCAAATTGTTGAAAAAAAATTCCGAATATTTGACCCGATTTGGTCCCACTTAACCCGAAACCGAAAAATGACGAAGAAAGAAAATAGAAAAAAAAAATGAAAAAGATGACAAGTCCTCACAGATGCAGAGTGTAGTTTTAATACTCTCGGAATCTTCTTTTCTCTTCTCTGTTGTTTGAATGTTGAGAGGGAAGAATTTGGCATAGATTCAGTGTTTTCACCTCCAATCCTCTTTAGTATCCACCCCCTGGGCCTCTATTTATAAACTCACTGAAGGGGTGAAATGGTAATTTACTTTCCTTCTAATAATTATCCTATATATATATAAATATCTTTGATGATAATTACATATATTCAATTATCTTTTATTAATGATTATGATAATTATCTTATATATATATTCAATTATCCTTTATTAATGAAAATTATCCTTTGGCCCATTTTTTGAGTGGGTTGGATTCTTGGATAATTTAACTTGATATGAGTTGCATCAAAATGACATGAGTGGTGGCCTAATAAATTAACTCTTTTTTTTACCCATCAAATTATGAATAACTTACTCTAAATTTTTCTGTGTTTACACATTCCTTACCCTAATTCTATCACAAAAATAGGACCAGATCACCTCCAGTCCAACAATGATCCATTTCCTCCATTTTGGGTTAATGAACAGTGTTTACCTTGTTTGGTAAAAAAAAAAAAAAAAAAAAAAAAAATTCCTAATACAAAATTTTCGTGTATATACATATATATGTATACACTGTTCAAGTATACAGCCTTTTTATTCCCTCCCTTATTTCTTCTTCCTCTTCCCTCCCTCATTTCAGTAATCCATTTGAAATAGAAATCAAATCCCGCCACTATAGCCTTTTTCTCTCCCAAAATATGAATGAAGCCATTTTAGAAATTTATTTCTTTCCAAATAGAAGTCGGAAGCAGCGATTGTTGTGTGAATCAATCCAAAATTTGGATGTTACAAATTGTTTCCAAATAGAAGCAGCGCTTTTGTCAGTCCCAATAAAATTACAGATTCTGATTTCCTTCCAAAAAGAACCAGCAAATCGAAGCAGGAGATTGCCGGAGATCAAATCGAAGTAGGAGATCGCCTTATTTCCAACCCTAAGCAGGTACGATTCATAATTTTTTGATTTCATTTTGAAGGAAATCGTCTTATTTCCATAACAACTGAATTGTATAAACAAATATAATTAGTAAGAATATATAGACACATTTTTGGTAAGAAACCCAGAAATAGAAAATTAATGGTGAATTTGAATTGATGGGGTTTGAAAGTTTATTTATTTGTGAGGAGAAAAAATGAGAGGATTTGTAGAGTACATGAATGGACGAAAAAGAGTGTTTCAGAGTGTTAGAATGTTAAGAAAATGTTTGGTCTTTGGGCTTGCATCGTAACGTTTTCCTAAGTTGGATCCCAAGTTTCTCCTAATAAGCATCCCAAAATCTTCCTTATCTATATTCCAATACTTTTGTAAAGTAAGTCACAACATTTTCCTAAGGTACATCCTAATATTTTCGTACTATAAATCCCAAAGCATTAAAGTATATCCCAACATTTTCATAATATGCATCCCAAATTTGTCATAATATATATCCCAACTTTTTGAAAGGTGCATCCCAAACTTTTCCTAAGGTGAGTCCTAACTATTTCGTAAGGTGAATCCCAATTGTTTTGTAACTTAAATCCCAAATTTTTCGTAATATGATTCCCAACATTTTCATAAACTGTATGTCAAATTAGCATCAGTTCGTTGGATATATATGTTCTGTTATGGCAATGAGGATTTTTATCCTCGTTTGTTTGGGATATACTTGATTGATACATGCAAAGAAATGAATGAGATATATGTCAAATTTAATTGGTCATACATGTGAAAAGGTTTTTTTATTTGATTGGCTCGTACATATGAAAAAGTTTTGTATTTGAGCCGTTGAGATAGGAATTTTACTTGGGATGTAGAAGTAAAATTTTTTTTTTGTTAATTCAATATTTATTTTTTGAGCCATTCAGATGGAAGGTGAAGTAAATAATATTGAAGACACAACAAATGGATGAAACGTTCCTGTTATAGAACCGGAAGTGATTAAATGGAAACTAAAGTATAAAATGGAGTTTGATAGTGAGGAAGAGGCATATGATTTTTACAATGCATATGGTGGTCGAATTGGTTTTAGCATCTAGAACGAGTATGGCAATAAAGTTAATGGAAAAATTACATCAAGGGCGTTAGTTTGTAGCAAGGAAGGTGTAAAGGGGACTGACAAACGGGATGTATTTAGAAAGACTCCCTGGGCTGAAACACGAACTAATTGCAGTGCACGAATGGTTGTTAGATATGACAAGACAAAGGTAAAGTACGTAGTTTCGAAATTTGTAGAAAGTCACAACCATCCATTCATAATTGCTGAATGCAGCCACATGATGCCGTCCCAGCAACCAATTTCCTCAGTCCAGGCCATTGATGTTGAGTTGGCTTCGGATTCAGGAGTTCTGGCTTATAATGCATATAAGTTGATGGGAAGGCAATCTGGTGGCAAAGAATCAGTTGGGTACTTGAAAGTGGTTCTTAAAAATTATCTAAGGATGCAAAGACAAAAGGAGCTTCTTTATAGCGAGGCGGCATGGCTTGTGGATTATTTTGAGACGCGTGCTTGTGAAGATCCTTCGTTCTTCTATTCCTTGCAACTGGATAGTGAACAAATGATTACGAACATATTCTGGTCAGATTGTAGAATGATCATTAATTATGGCCAGTTTGGAGATGTTATCAGTTTTGACACAACGTACAAAGTGGTACACGTCAACAGACCATTTGTAATTTTCTTGGGTCTGAATCATCACCGGGAGACCGCTGTTTTGGAGCAACCTTAATGTATGATGAGATAGCGGATTCGTTTGTCTGGTTATTTGAAATGTTCTTGAAAGCGATGGGCGGAAAAGCGCCAAAGACGATTATTACGGATCAAGACGCTGCAATGGCGAAGGCATTAAAGCATGTGAATAATTTTCATGCATCTCCATTCTTAACACTTGGTATGCTGAAACAATCGTATTATTTCAGTCGTATTTTTTAGATTTGCAATATTGCAACACAGGCATTAAGTTCATGCCGGTGACAAAGCATCATTTATGTGTTTGGCACTTAATGAATAATGTGTAAAAGAACCTACTATTTATGTTTAAACGCGTTGAAGGAATAAAGAAGGTCATCTTAAAATTAATGTTCGAAATTGAGGAGGAGGAGGATTTTATCAGGGAACGGGATTTAATGATTGCAGAGTATGGTGTTGCTGGTAATAAGTGGCTTTCCACTTTGTTAGATTTGAGACATAAATGGGCCCTGGCATTTGTCAAACAAGACTGGTCTGCAGGAATGAGTAGCACGCAACTTATTCTACCAGAATTCTTCACACACTTTGACAGATTATTGTCGGACAAGCGGTACAAGGAGTATGAAGCTGAGTATGGCTTGGTGGAGAGCCAACCGGAACTAAAAACAAAGTGCCACATATTACGTCAAGCGGGGAACGTGTACACCATGGCAATATTTCAGCTTTTCCAGGAAGAGTTTTTAGCTGCTCTCGCGAGTCAGGCTGTTATTAGTTGCAATGACTTGGATAACAATGGACACCATGTTTATAAAGTTGCTGGTGAGGACGGGGTGCAACGTCGTGTGAGCAGGACATTTGAAGATGAATTGTCATGCTCATGTTGTAAATTTGAAAGAGTGGGCTATTTGTGCAGGCACCGTTTGAAAATCCTTAAGGACTGCATGTTTGTGAATGAATTGTCTTCCCGATATATAATAAAAAGGTGGACTAGAAATGCTAGAGATGGCAGGTTGGACGAAATTGTTTCCACCGACGTGAATCTGGATCCTCAACTTGAGATTAGGCGATGGCATAGGACGCTTTGCCGTATACTGACTAAAATATCTTCCATTGCATCATACGATGCCGAAGGATATAATGATCTATTAGAAAAGCACTGGACTGGAAAAGAACAGTACGAATAACTTGTGGTCGTAGGTTTGCAGAGAAAATTGCAAGGGGTAAGGGAAAAAAAAGGGTGAAAAACAACAATGGAACAATTCCCATGACCCTGAAAGTTAAAGATACCTCTAAAGGATGATTTAAGAGGCTGAAACCAGCCATAGAGTTAAATAGTGGGAAAGGAGGAAGTCAACGAAAGCAACAGGCCAGGTATATGTTACGGTCGCTCGCACTGCTATTTCATTATTTAACTATTTGAACATGCGAACAAAATAAATTCAATTTCATAACATTATATCCTTCATCATAAAACACTCGTGAGTGGAAGAAACTAACATTTTTTATGTTTTAGATATTAAATGAAACCATTGTTTTGGGAGACACCGGTGGCAGTGATAGTCCGTCAACCCCGTCCTATATAAGCAGTTACTATTTAGGATTGTTGGTTAACATGTTGATTATGTTTAAAAGTGCATTGACCGTGTTTATATGAAATATTTTAGGGTGCATGTAACGACCCGATCATTTGCCTTCCTTTCATTTTTCCTGAAATTTTACGGACGAATTTTTTTTGTTTAATTTTCTTTTCTGAGCTCTGTTTCGTGCCACTTAGTGTCATCTCGAGTGCTCAGAATTGGTTTCTGAGACTCTTTCATGTGGATTGACAACTTCCTTTGAGGACCGAGTCATTTTCGCATTTTTTGTTTTTCGGACACTATGCGCTATTTCGTCTTTTCCCTATTATGTCGTTTTCCCTATTTCGTCTTATCTCCGTTTGTCAGTTTTTGGCACAACGTCACTTTTCAAGCTCAGAGTTGGTTTTTGACTTCACGTATCCTTATCGTGAGTGGGTTCCAAGAAATACGTATCTTTACTTTTGCAAGAAAGTACTCTAGTTGCTCCCGGTGCCTATAGGGGCATGGATGCATAAATCTTTGGAATTAATTTCATTTCTTGGGGTGTTTTTCATAAATATCTTTTGAAGATATTTTATTTCAGGGGCATCTAAGAAAATATCTTTTGGAAGATATTTTCATTCTGGGGCAGTTTCGCAGTTAACCCTTTTTGTAGGGGCTATTGTGCAATTAACAAAAGTTATTGCAAAATGTCTCGTCTGGAGCCTGGATCCTCGTACGGGATTCATTTTCACTTTTTGTTAACTTGTAAATTCATAGAATTCCGTTTTGGTCGTTTTTCTCCAGTTTCAGAGTTTCTGGACCTGGTTGCCCCCGAACTTGTTCGGGACATAACTTTCTGCTCGGGACTCGGTTTTCGACGCCGTTTCTTCCATTATTCATATTTTCTTATTTTAAATCTTTTTTGTTCATGGAGTTTTGCCGTTTGAGCGCGTTTACTCAAAATCCACTTTTCTGGACCCGGCAGGGCCCTTTCGGGGCACTTTTTGAGATTTCTATAAATAGGTTGCCCTAATTTTTAAAATCAGATTTTCAGACCTTCTTCCTCCTCTTGGCTGGCAGCCATGGGAGCCCAAGGGTCTGCCTTCTGATTTCCTTGGTAGAAATCCTTCGGCCTTAGCATTTGTTGTTCCCCTCGTCGTGCTCTACCATTATTCCTTATTAGAATTCTTTTTGACAATTTCTTGAGTTTGGCTTTGAAGTCAAGTTTGGATTTTCATGGGGCTTTCTTCGGATTCATGTAGATCGTGTTGTCCCCGGCGTAACCCTTCGATTTCGGTGGATTCGGAGCACTTTTTTTTTCAGTGGGGATTTGAGGTCTTCATCTCAAATTGAGGTAGGAGGTGTTATAGGTTTAATTCTTGTTATATAACATGTTATTGATGCTTATACAACTTGATTGCATGCTTAAATATGAAATCTAGAGATTTTATTATTTAATTTTCTTGTATTGGATTTGATTTTCCTGGTTGCTTATGACATGTTTTAAACATGTAGCATGGTAATATAATGCTCTATAATATGGTCATTGACATATATTAAATTGAGGGAATTTGAACAAGTATTAAATATTTTATTTAATATTTATCTTGAATAAAATATTAAATCATACGGCCTTAACTAGCTTAAAATCAATATGTGTTAGCATATTAAATTAGGCCTTAGCATGCTCTATAACATAGTTGAATTTGAAAGTAATTGGAGGTGTTTTGAAAATTAGTAATTATTAATTAATTTAATTAATTAATTTGCCCTGAGTGCACTATTCACTCTATTTGAATTCCGACTTGATATTCTTGATTTACATGCCATATAGCTTCACATATATTTGATTTAGAATATTCGGTTAGGTTTTGAAACCTTTCATTTAATTAAATTCCTTGTTTAAGATTTAATCCTCATGGTGATATACAACTTGGAATTGAATTGTGGCATGCTAGAAAATTAAGTTTTGGTATGGTTGTTTACATATATTAAATTGGGATTAATTGTATGAGAATTGTAACTTTTATTTTATATTTAACTTTAGTGAAGGTTTAATTCACATAGTCGTAGATTGAATGAAATAAACTTGTAATGTGATATTACATTAGTCCTTGGCATGTTCTCTAAGATATGTTAAATTGAGAGCATTTGGTTAAGTTTGAAAATCTAGAGATTTTAAGTAAAAGAATTAAATAAAATTTATTTTGTGGTCCCATTAGCTTAATTAAGGTTTTAACTTGATATTTGTATTGATCTCTTGCATGTATTAATTTGGGACTATTTGAAGTTATTTTAGAACCTTGGGATATAAATTAGCATGATTTAATAAAAGTTCTACCTTGTTGTTGTATTTAAACTCACGAGCTTATGTTTTCAATATTGAATATATTGTTGTCTTGGGTAATGATTTGCACATTTCATATTTAACATCATTCATGCATAGCGTGTAACGAATCGCACACTGAAGATTAGACATTCATCATATCATATTAGTTGTGGATTTAGAGCATGTATTGTATAGGTTTCCAAAATTGGTTGTGCTTGGTCGATAGTTGATTATCTTGCATATTCTTATTGATATATGCGTTGTTGCACAACTTGTTGATTTTGGAAACTTGGGGATGTCGTTGTTTAACTATGGCTAGGACGTGGTTCTAGTACGGGGGATAGTCCCTCTATATAGTCTAGTGCGCACATAGGGAGGTTACCCATGGTCTAGTAACCCTAAAGTAACTATGTTGTCGATTTGATCCGGCGTGACGTCCGAGTATCCACTTTGTTTGATTTCGCATTTCATTTTCAAGTTGATAACTAGATGATGTTGTAACTTATTGTTTCTTATTTGTCGTTCCATTTTAAGTTACATGATGTTAACTTTGCGGAATTGTGCTTTATGCGTTGTATTGGAAGTTCCAATGTTGGTTAAATTGCATCGATATTGAAAATCATGTTTTGACGTTCTAATAAAGCTTAGGATTGATCATATTGATTCATTTATAACATAGACGTTAGGTGGCATGACCCACTTCCGTTGTTTTCGTGCTTTAGATTCCAAGCTGATAGCTTTAAGAAATTGTATTTTGTTGCCTTGTATAATATGCTTTTATGTGGTTAGACTGCATTGAAGTTGTAATTTGCGTTTTGATTGTTCAGCATGGCTTAGGATGATTCCTTAGACTTATTTAGAACATAGACATTAGGTGACATGATCACTTTAGTTATTTCTGTATTCGAGATTGCAAGTTAATACCTTTAAGAACCTATATCTTGTTGCTTTGTATAACATGCTTCCGTATTGTTTAAATGGCATAGATGATGTGATTTATGCTAGAAACACTCTAAGGTAGCTTAGGATGCTCCCTGAGTCTCATTTCGATATAGACGTTAGGTGGCATGAACCCCTTTAACATGTTTCACCTTAAGGTGATAAATTTGTAAAATGCTAGGTCGATGCATGCCCATCTCCTACGAGTAGCTTTATGTTACTCACTCCTACGATACTGGGGCATATTTCAGGTTGAGGTCTTCATTATGCTTGGATGGTTTGTGGACTTGGAGACTTCCATTTTTGTGAAAGTTGGCTCGGAATGCCAATTGTAGTCTTATATGTTAAAATATGTATATTTGATTCCATGTATGTAATGTATACTTAAGTACACTTCTTTCAATGTATTTGATATGTATGAGACGAGGCCGGAGGCCAATGACATGTATGTTGTATTCTATACAACTTCTTAACTTCATGAAATATTCTGAAAACCTTGAAAAATCGCAAGTCATTGCTTCACCATGGTTGCATTGGGTGTGGGAATTCCATTTTCATTCTTTCATAGGGTCTTATTAATCTTGTATGAAGTGTGGCCAAGGGCCAAACGGTCATTTGACTCTATTTTACATTTTTGGATTCCATGTTTTCCATTCCAAGTCCATTTTTGCCTTTTTGCCCGTTGGGGGGGTCGAATTTTGCATCGGCTATATTTTTAAGCCATGGACCATTGTAGCGCGTCTAAATAGGTAAGTTACGTTTGCGTGCCTAGTCGTTTCAGGGCAAAACCTCATCGTTTGTGTTTTGAGCCTCCTACGATTTCATTTTGCGTTTTTGTTGCATATTCTGATCTAGGGTCATTCTAGACCTTTTAATTCAGTTTTATTTCCTTCTTTCACTATGGTTGAATAGAAAACGTGATTTTAGAGGGGGTTTCTTTTTTGTGTTTTTCCAGAAAATGTCGTCTTGGTACCTGAAATCGATCGCAAAGTTCAGCTTTCTGTTTTTTTTAGCAGCTTTTTGAACCTCCATGACCAGATTTCTTGGAGGGGCATTTTGGGCATTCTACATTGTGTTTTTTTTGAATTCTCTCGCGAGTCACGTAGAAAACTCAAATTTGAGTTCTTTGTGTTTTTCCAGAAAAATTCATCTACTAGCCCGTTTTTACTCTCTATTCTGGCTGTTTCTGGAAAAAAATGCTTGTAGCAGCTTTTTGGGTCCATCTTGACCTAGGCTGTTCAAGGGGCATTTTAGGGACTTTACATCATATTTTTTTTGGTTTCTTCTGCATAGTCGGGTAGAAATCGTGATTTTAAGGGGGGTTTCTTCTTCGTATTTTTCCAGAAAAACTCGTTTA